CCGCGTAAGTGCAATAGCTCGTGTTGCTCTAGTTTAGTTAGTTTAATTAGTTTTATTTATAAAAAAAACGTTAGCTCCACACTAGGGTTTTCTCGTGTATCTTGGGGGCAGTTTACATACATAAATTTCACAAGGACTTTCACAAACATTCAGACCGGGAACAATTATTTGTAGGCCGTACAAATACTTGTTCAGTATGAGATTCGAATACGCGGCCCTTAGCGCTGCAACTCGTTGCTAAACCACTGCGCCACGGAGCCGTCAAATGTATTTAAATCACGAACAAACAGCATAAATATTTTTGTAGCCTCATAATACAATAGGCCTACCATTTTGTTCTGCCAGAACGCAGTCTCCCTTAACATATTCTATTTTCATCGAATGCTCCTCTTCAGTCCATATGGCTAATAAGCACATATCTATCTCCGTAATGTTTAAATAATAATCGTGGTTTTTGTTAACCGAAAAAGTGTTCTTTTTTGCATTTTACTTCCAAAATTTTATTTTCTTTGCTAGAACAGCTTCTTCAGATTGCATATTTTTTGGCGGAAAATGGACATTTTATTTCTATTAGTCCCGTTTTTCCCTCTTTATTTTTATAAATACCATCGGCACTTGCTTCTAAAAATTGTAGTGTTTTATGTATATATAGACTGCAGCGAGTAATTGTACTCGTAATATTTACCTGCCGAGATAGCTGAGGCAATGTTGTTTGTTCATTAGCTTTGCCATATTTTATCGATCGAATATTAGATATGATTTACGGTTTCACATTAGTTCTCACTAACAGTTCAGCTGACGTTTTCTTTCCGTTTACATATCTTGCCAAATATAGACGTGGTTAATTGATTTTTGGTGCAGTCGCCTCATAACGCTTAGTGGTTACTTCACCATATATGGTGATGAAAGCGATTACGCGGACCACTTCAGTGCCCAATTGGTTACGGGGAATACGTGTGAAGTGTATGCACGTACGGGTTACTTGGGTTTCTTGAGACGAACAGAGATAAGTACAACTGGAATGAGTTGTGATGAGTCGCTCCTGCCAAGAGATAGTGATACAGCATCGGTATATTCAGCAGTGAAATTTTATAGGCAAATTATATATTTAAATATTATATAATAGATTGCTTTTAAAATAATTTGTTTGTTTCATTTTTGATTCCTCAGTGGTGTTTTCACCTGGGCGAACTTGCTAGTCGTGGTCGTGGAACTGGATGGCAACGATAGCGAAGCTTTGAATCTAGTCCCACTTGTTACTAATATCGTTTTGGAGGAGCACCACCTGATCGTCGGAGTTGTCGTCGTGGTTGATCCCGGAGTCGTACCCAATAATTCGCGCGGTAATAACAACGCATGCATCTGCGTGATGGATTCCTATCTAATCAGATCGACGCCATATATATCGCGTATAACATGTAAACGCGTAAAAAGGAACCTTATCACTATATTTACAAGATTGGATTTGGGCCACGCACTGGCGAGAAGCATGAGAACAACGCACCGTCTTCTGGTCATAGTATCGTCAAAATAGACCGCATATATTACTTGATCCTATAAGATTCTTAAAGATATTAGTTGACCCTAAAACCAAAATGCTATAGATAAAAATTATGAAATGTTATTTAAAATTTACAAAATTCTTCCCATAGACAAGAAAGTAAAATCCATCATCATATTAGAAAAGCATGGTGTGGTAACATTTAAGAAACCTAAGACATATATAATGCCGAAGCGCCAAGTTACAAAAGGAGGAAATATCTCATACCTAGGGTTGAAAATTACTTTGGACGACGTACAAGGCAATGGATAACTCCGACATTGTGTAATGAGGTGGCGGGTATTTATGACGAAAACGTAACTAAGTCGCAGCTCAAAACAATCTTGAGAAAACATTACCTGTCGTTGTGTCCTTAGTAGTGAATGTTTCTTTAATTATGTGTGTGTTAATTTAAGTATTTATAAGTAACTTATATTGTTATTAAGGAGTGTGAAACGATAAACTGTTGCGTTGCCGACAAAGTGGCTTACAGTTTGGCAAAGTTTGAAATGTAAATAATGTAACACACTTTCTAAGAATAAATAAAAACTATATAACTATATCTAATAATTTTCAAAATGTAAACATTCAAACCTGAATACTGTTTAAAAACTATTTCATGAATAGATGACAGGAAGAATCACTGTATGTCTGATTGGATATAAATAAATGAATAAATTTTTAAACTGGATATGAATATAGCAAACTGAAGCATTTGTCTTGACTTACATACTGTTAGCGACTTTCCAATATAATTAAACTACGAGCAATTAAATGTCTTTCTTATGGTGACACGTTGCCAGACTTGGCTCAAATCGATAGTTATGCAATCAAAAACAGTTTTGGAGCACCTTTTACCTTCGTAGGTTAATCTAACAAACCTACTCTCGATCTGACTTTAGATCAATTTATAGCTTAACGGAAATTTTGATGCTCATTTTTTGCGTTAGATTATTTTGAAGAAAATGACAAGTTGCGCGATCAAAATCTCCAGAAATTACAAAGGACGTTTACAAACAACTAACAAAATCTCCTACCATCTATAAATAACTCAAAACTGATAGTAATTTACGAAAACAAAATTAATAAATTGATTTTTATTTCACTAATTTGGCTGAGCCTCCAGCCTAAACAGATGGACAGATTGTTGACTTATAATAAAAATAAAATGCGACGTTATTACTATGCATGTACAACACTTTTCATTTGAAATTATCAATTTTTCAAACAAGTGCAGACAAAGTTTTGTTTTTATTTTATTCTGGATCTCTGTGAAATATTGTTGATATATGTATTAACTTTCTCATTTTATAACGCAATGCACAAAAAAAATAAAATTTTGGGCAATCACTTCGATAATAATAAGAATTTTAAGATGTTACTTTTGAACTGTGTATTCGTCGCCAAAGAGCTGTCTAAGGGGAATTTATAACTACTTTTACAATTGTGATTTTATCTGAATTATGAATAAACGTTCATTCTAATTATACTGTTTTTTATTTTAAGAGAAACATAACACCATCTTACTAACAAGTTTACTACGATAAATAAATATTAACTTTAAACGCGCATCGCAAAAAAAAGTTAAAATGTAAGAAAACCTGTGATTATTCTAGAGAGAAATACCCTGGTGATCCTGGTCAGGATACTAAGATAAAGTTATTAAATTATTGTATTTTCATCGGTCCATGATACAGAAATGCAAATTTTCAAGTAAATCGGCCGTCTACAAGTTCAAAGCATCAAATGGTTGTAGGAATTAAATATTACTTTTTTTTTACTTTAATCAAATTCTTATTATTGCTAGAGATTGTCTCTATTGTCGGATTCACTGATTTAAATTAGTTGGAACTGATTACAAATTAAATGTCAAACGATTACACTGCTCAATAGAAGCATTCTTGGTAGCCAAAAACTTGGCTAAGTTAAAATGTTAAAAGAAGATAGCATATTTGCTACCAGCCTTAAATGATATTTGGATAGGTTATATCAATCTTTTGTCCAAAACTTCTTAATTACATTATTTATGTCAATCAAATGCAAATTGTCATTATTATCATTACAATAATAATATGCCAAATTTAAATTATTATTACATATTAAATTTTTATTTGTAAATTTAAGTTATGTCTTATCTTATTTCCCTGTAGCAATCCTTGTATATAAGGCAGTGTGAACAAGACAATTTTGTCTACATTTTAGTTATTAAGATGTTCAGTATGTTTTAATAACTGTTTGTTGTTTACTCTACGTCTTCTACCAACAAAACTACTACTACTTGTACTAGTTGGGCAAAATTTTGTAACTATAATTTTATTTAGGATGTCATTAAAAGATGACCAGGCATGCTGCACTTTACAATTTTTGTCCCTATAAGTGTTATTTAAAATTATGCCAAAAATTTTTCCCATGTCATCGCTATACACAGTTATATTATTTTAGATTATGCTTGAATTATTTTTTATTTTTATCTCCTCTCCTATGGTACTACCGTAGAGTTTTGGTGGTTATATAATAATATTATCTCCGACTCTGTAGAAGCTGGTATTGACCGCTGACACTCACTTATGTTTTACTAAGGAGTCAAAACGCTCCTCATTATATTTACATCTCTTTACCAGATTATCCATAGCCAGTATGTGTTCTTTTATTTCATTTTGGGCTGATTTATATTTATTGGACACAGTTTGAAGGGAGTTAAAAAATAAGTATAATTTCTGATTTAAGGCTCTCTACGTCAGTCTCATAACATTTTTTAATGTTATCCACCTTAATTGAATACAATTCAAGTTCATATAACAATGCTTGCTTTTCTTTACATACATAAACATAATTTTTGGTATCAATCTTATTTTTATTAATTTTTATATTTTCTTCATGTATTTATTACCTATTCATTTTACTATTTATTGTAAATAATAAAAGAAAACAAAGATCGAATCAGAAGAAGCAGAGTAAACTATGTCGAGTTGTAATTTTTTTTTACTTTTCGCTATTTACAGATCTCAAATCAATTTCTCGCAGTAGAACTGATGAAATTCATAAATCGAGGACGCAATGTCGTGTTTGCCGTGAGGGTACTGCGTGATGAGCGAATATGTATTGTAGCTGAACAACGTCCCGATTCTGGAGAGGAGGAGGTTAGTTTCAAGTCATATTAAAAAAGATTTGAAGAGATTGTGAATTTCATACTTATGTTTATGAATAAAAACTACACATTTTAAAATGACTAAATATAAAGAGCTGGCGACGTATTTTTAAAAAGTGTTTTCCTAAACATAATTTTTTTAATATTCTAAATAATACTCCGTTAGATATATTTCAGCATGCAACGTGAAAGTTAAGAAGTTTTGATAGGGGTTCCTAACTTAAAATTAGAATGTAAAAGAAGGCCAGTAAAGCAAAAAATGACATCTAACTATCGCATTAAAATACACGTTTGTGTAAGAGATGTATGTAAATGTATGATTTGAACATAGAAAAAATATTAGTAGCTGTGAATCTTCACCGAGAAAAAGGTAAATATGTATCTAAACTAGATTTTCAACTCGTCACTATGACACTAACCTATTTCTTTTTCAGATACTAAGGCCGCTGTTAAGAGCACTAATGCTACAAACATTACTAACACAAAAGTTTGTAATAAAGAGGATAAAGACATTAAACTGGGTCTTACAACTGCACGTAACGATGGTTATGAGACCGTCATCACTGAAGCATATGATACCAATACTAACCGTGAAGAGAATATTACACAAAAAGATGAAGCTAACAACATTGTGCAGAACAATACAAATAATATCGCCGGCAATGAAGATTTAAATAATTATGCTGGATGCAGCGCTCAAAATAAAATCCCTGGTACCGACCATATTGATAATAACAATGCAAAATATATTACACAAAATGTTGGTGACGAAAACGATATCGCTGAAAGCAATAATCAAGATATTGCGGGTGACAATACATTACAAATGGCACAAAATGATGAACCCAATAACGCACGTATCAATGAACAGGATATCGCGTCTAACGAAGCACGCGATGTTGCTCCTAATGACAGAAATGATGTCAATGCAGGCAATCCAGATAATGGCACATCCCTTGAAAGAAATAATCCACCTAATTTTAATTATAACAACAGATTGGTGATCAACGGCAATCGTAATGGCATATCTAATGTTATTCAAAATGTTATCATTCGAGCTGCCAATGAGCATAGAAATTATCAAAATGTAGCACCCCGTGCCCCCGATAATTTACCTAACAATAATATTCGAGATGGAGATAATGAACTACCTGACTATGAGAGTGACGACGAATTGCTCATAGTTAATCCTAGAAACCGTGATAACATTCATCCACGTTATTTATTCCGTAGACCATTTTTGCAAATAAGACTCCAAGACCTCGAAAGTAGCGATGATGACTCTACTGACACTAATTCGCTATAAATATTTTAATGAAATTTGTCAATGTATCGAATACATACGATGTATGTTTCTTTTTCATACGATATGTAAATTAAACCCTGTCCGATCCTCCTATGTTCTGTTTATGTGATTCTTTTCAGTAAAAAAATATATTCTCCAGAATTTTATAAAATAAAATTCTATTAAATGGTAAAACTTATATAGCAATACTTGCAGCGCAGTTATCCGTCGGGTAACAATACCGCTACGTTTCCAAAAACTGTTGTCAGATTTTCATAATTTGCTAAATGTGCAGCGAATTGTAGTGCATAAAACATGTATTTTAAATGATAATATCATTTTTATATTTATTAGTATAATTATGTATTATTCTTTTTGTAATTATAAAAATATGTGGCCCTAATGCATTGGTCAGAGGTTTGTTTACATATTGTAGATTTAATTACTAATAAATATATTTAATCACTACCTTGTAGGAGTAGTAGTAAGTACGATAACGTATTTCTTAGTCCAGGTTTCTCAAAACAAAGCAAGCTTATTAAATAAAGCACTTCAAAAGCTCGCATGCTTTGAAGCAACAAGTAGAAAGCATGCAAGGTTTTGTTTAAAATATATCGATGGTATATGGTAGCCAAATGTAACCCAATAACCAAATGTAACCCAATAGCCAAATGTAACCCAATAACCAAATGTAACCCAATAACCAAATGTAATCGTTACTATAATATACTTGTATGTTCTTAATACGTAAGCACACTTTAATCTCGCATATAAATGAAAGATTTAATGTTTGATTAAAGCTATTTGGTGTATTATGTATTCGATTTAATGTTTTCAAATATAACTCTCTAATACACTAATATTTCTTTTCTTTATTTTAATATACAATGTAAAATGTTTTATAACATCGAACACTTCCTATCTCTTAATATGTATCAAATCTTAATATGTATCAAATAAATAATTAAAATACCTAGTAAATATATTATTTTCTTGGTATTTTAGCTCAAATGCCCACAATATTATTTTTAAATAAAAAGAGCTGAATACGAAAGCTTAACAGGTTCAACGTGTATACGCCATATTTATTGGAGTGAAAATGTGCCTGGGACGTGTTACGCTTTCGTATATTCAGCTTCAACGAGTTAGGGAAAGGTATAGAAGGTAAAAAAGGTTTTTCTTACAGTTGTTTCACTGGATATCTCGAGTACTTCAGACTGTCGATTCCATACATCAAGTCGGTATCTACTGTCTCGCACTGGTACAATCGAACTATCTTCCGAAGACGCCGCCGGTTGGCATTCAACTTAGCGAATGCAAACGTCGTTTCCTGGACGGCACATCACATCCCGCCAATGCATTGATATGTGCGCGCATACTTGTGTTACCAATCTACCTAAATCTAGGGAAATTCATTCAGGTATTAAAGCTTTCCTGTATTTTAAATTAAATTTCTATATTGTACATATGCCTGTAAACATAGAAAAACGCGGGCCACCGGCAGACCATAAGGGAGTAGCCATACGCAAGCGTTTCCCTCTTTCAAAGTATAAGTCCATGCGGTCCTATACGTACAATAAAACTAGTTTCAGCCGCACTGTTCTCTAGACTAAATTAAGTTGCGCGGCTGAATTGACGTCTTCCAATATACAGATCGGTCGAGCGACTGATCCGAGTATGTAACCGAGTTGTCGCTGTCACCGAGCGACACTGTTATAATTTATGTCTGTGCGAAATTGTTAGTTTATTGTTTTAATTTATATGTGTGTGTTTCATAGTAACAGAGTATAGTATTTGCATTCGGAGATTTCCTCCCGTAAAAAAAGGCAGACATTTCTGTATCGGAAAAAAAAGCTATGGCTACTCCCGTCCGGTCCGCCGCGTAAGTGCAATAGCTCGTGTTGCTCTAGTTTAGTTAGTTTAATTAGTTTTATTTAAAAAAAAACGTTAGCTCCACACTAGGGTTTTCTCGTGTATCTTGGGGGCAGTTTACATACATAAATTTCACAAGGACTATCACAAACATTCAGACCGGGAACAATTATTTGTTGGCCGTACAAATACTTGTTCAGTGTGAGATTCGAACACGCGGCCCTTAGCGCTGCAACTCGTTGCTAAGCCACTGCGCCACATAGCCGTCAAATGTATTTAAATCACGAACAAACAGCATAAATATTTTTGTAGCCTCATAATACAATGGGCCTACCATTTTGTTCTGCCAGAACGCAGGGTCTCCCTTAACATATTCTATTTTCATCGAATGCTCCTCTTCAGTCCATATGGCTAATAAGCACATATCCATCTCCGTAATGTTTAAATAATAATCGTGGTTTTTGTTAACCGAAAAAGTGTTCTTTTTTGCATTTTACTTCCAAAATTTTATTTTCTTCGCTTGAACAGCTTCTTCAGATTGCATATTTTTTGGCGGAAAATGGACATTTTATTTCTATTAGTCCCGTTTTCCCTCTTTATTTTTATAAATACCATCGGCACTTGCTCCTAAAAATGTAGTGTTTTATGTATATATAGACTGCAGCGAGTAATTGTACTCGTAATATTTACCTGCCGAGATAACTGAGGCAATGTTGTTTGTTCATTAGCTTTGCCATATTTTATCGATGGAATATTAGATATGATTTACGGTTTCACATTATGGAATGAGTTGTGATGAGATGCTCCTGTCAAGAGATAGTGATACAGCATCGGTATAATAGACAGTGATGGCATGGCATCAGATATACATGACACGCATGACTCCACTAAATGGACATCCGACGATCTGTCTTAAGCCCGTGCTTTCTATATTACTTGGCTTACGAGTATATATTATGTTGAACAGTAGATTTGTGATGGACTTTAATGGTGATGATTGACGATTTAGACAAGGCCCAAAGAAGAAAGAATTCCCACAGAAATCATCTTTATATATTTCAGCATTTAGTATTACTTTACTTTATATGAAGTCTGTGTTAAGCTTGTCACACTTGTAAATATAACTTTTTGTACTGCTGCCCAGATATATGATAATGCTTTTCGGGTATATGTGTGTATGCTCATTTGAGTCATACTGTGACCTAAATGGCTTGGAAATATTATCTCTATGCGGAAATCAATGGGGGGGGGGGAGCTATATTCAGCAGTGAAATTTTATAGGCAAATTATATATTTAAATATTATATAATATATTGCTTTTAAAATAATTTGTTTGTTTCATTTTTGATTCCTCAGTGCTGTTTTCACCTGGACGAACTTGCTAGTCGTGGTCGTGGAACTGGATGGCAACGATAGCGAAGCTTTGAATCTAGTCCCACTTGTTACTAATACCGTTTTGGAGGAGCACCACTTGATCGTCGGAGTTGTCGTCGTGGTTGATCCCGGAGTCATACCCATTAATTCGCGCGGTGAAAAACAACGCATGCATTTGCGTGATGGTTTCCTATCCGATCAGATTGACGCCATATACATCGCGTATAATATGTAAACGCGTAAAAAGGAACCTTATCACTATATTTACAAGATTGGATTTCGGCCATGCACTGGCGAGAAGCATGAGAACAACGCACCGTCTTCTGGTCATAGTATCGTCAAAATAGACCGCATATATTAGTTGATCCTATAAGATTCTTAATGATATTAGTTGATCCTAAAACCAAAATGCCATAGATAAAAATTATGAAATGTTATTTAAAATTTGCAAAATTCTTCCCATAGACAAGAAAGTAAAATCCATCATCATATTAGAACAGCATGGTATGGTAACATTTAAGAAACCTAAGACATATATAATGCCGAAGCGCCAAGTTACACATAGGAGGAAATATCTCATACCTAGGATTGAAAATTACATTGGACGACGTACAAGGCAATGGATAACTCCGACCTTGTGTAATGAGGTGGCGGGTATTTGTGTCCTGTCGTTGTGTCCTTAGTAGTGAATGTTTCTTTAATTATGTGTGTGTTAATTTAAGTATTTATAAGTAACTTATATTGTTACTAGCTGTGCCCTGCGGTTTCACCCGCGTATATCACGCATATGCGCCTTGCGACATACGAACTTCGAGAGAGACATCACGACGGACGGTTGCTGTATTAACAAAGATTTAAAAAGTGAAATATGTTACTAAAATTACATGGTTAAAGTAATTGGTGGTTATGCATGATACAGGTACTGATACGAATGATGTCTAGGCCACATTATTCGTATCAGTACTTATTAGTAGTATTTGTACCGGCGTTACTATTTCACATTTTAACATAAAAAAGTAGTTATTGTGACATAACTGTAATAGTTAAACATATGGTATCGCAGACTTTTTTGTAGATATTAATATATTAATATCCTCTATAAAAGTGAAGTACATTACTTTGCTCTATTATCAATAGTTTCCGAAGCGTACGCGATATAAGGATTCTTTTTGGTATTTTTTTCACACCTTGGGTTACATTAACGAAGTTTTCATACGGATCCCAAACTCTTTTGAAAATATTACATAGCCTATGTTCATCAGGGATAATGTAGAATTCTAATGGTGAAAGAAATTTTCAAATCGGTCCAGTAGTTTCGGAGCCTATTCAATTCAAACAAACAAATAAACAAACAAATCTTTCCTCTTTATAACAGTATGTAGATGTAGATGTAGATGTAGATGTAGATGTAGATTAAGGAGTGTGAAACGATAAACTGTTGCGTTGCCGACAAAGTGGCTTACAGTTTGGCAAAGTTTGAAATGTAAATAATGTAACACTCTTTCTAAGAATAAATAAAAAAAATATAACTATATCAAATAATTTGCAAAATGTAAACATTCAAACCTGAATACTGTTTAAAAACTATTTCATGAATAGATGACAGGAAGAATCACTGTATGTCTGATTGGATATAAATAAATGAATAAATTTTTAAACTGGATATGAATATAGCAAACTGAAGCATTTGTCTTGACTTACATACTGTTAGCGACTTTCCAATATAATTAAACTACGAGCAATTAAATGTCTTTCTTATGGTGACACGTTGCCAA